CAGTAACAGTTAAAGGCACGACGGGACCGTTGGCAAGATTACGAGCATGACTCACTCATTCTTGGCTCATTTTATGGGGCGCTAGTTGCTACACCTGTAAAGAATACAGCAAAAAAGAACTGTCAAAATAGCCTCGAGAACGGCACCTCACATCCCTGACGTCGCGCAAGTTTCTATCGGCCTTAGTCAAGGTTTTTTTGAGAAATAAACATTTCCCTCACAAAGTCTTCTGTTTCCACTAGCTCAGGGTGTAGCTTGGCACGACCTAGTCCGTTGTGAACGTGAACGTTTCACTTCAGGCTAAGCGTTCTAACTGATTGTCCACCGTGCCATTAAGTCAGGACCTTCGGAGAGGTTCTCATGGGAAGGTACTTAACGGCTCAAAGAAAATTACTAAGTTTCAAACCAGATTTCGAACCAGGATTTGGTTCACCAAAGTCAACGATTTGAGAAAAACCTTTGGCTCTTCAAAATTCCAGTTCATGACTCTGAGACCACAAAAGTGAAGCATCAAGATTACCATTTAATAAGATTCAATTTATCCGCTGTTTTTCCAAAGCCAGCAACCTGCTGGGCGAGGAAGAATTGGATAAGTGAAAGCAGCACGGTGAATTCACGCAACTTGAAGAATGCAGGGCTTCCATATCGTAGTCGTTGAGATCGCCCTTAGGCAGCGACTTCGCATGATGCATTGTAACGCGCGTCAACATGCCGCAATCGCAACAGCGCTCCGTTGCTATAAATAGCAGACGGAGCCTACTGCCTAATAGGAGGGTAGGCGTTGCCTAATCACGTAGTCTGGTATCGATCGGCACTGGCAGCCAGTGCTAGGCGAGAGTTCAGAGGAATAGTAGGGTAACACATTGTGTGAAGGCAGCGCCTAGCCCCCGCTCCCCGCTGTTGACCTGCACTCTTTTGAGCGCAAGCGCCAATTAATTCCCGTCTGCGGCGGCGCTCGCATTCATAGCATTCAAAGGCCCTTCCACTGGTAGCGCGTCGACGCGCGTTACAGCGCGTCGTCGCTGAGTCTCATCGCTGCCTTACCAGTAACTACTTAAGGAAGCACCGTCGTTGCTCAAAGATGCAGTAAGGCTACATCAAACTCGTTGGAGGAATGCGATAGCTTCATGTAAATGGTGCGTTCTAAATGCTTCAAAAAACCCATTTTTGTTCAGAAACAAGTGCAGTTTTCCAGGCAAAAGGATTTGAAAAAAGCCGAAGAAGAGCTTGCTAGTGCTCGGGACCGCTTCGAAAATAATGAGCGCGAACTTGAGTTAAAAGGAATCCACATTGAAATGTACAAGAAGATCCGTGAGTCTGCAGTGATTTGGAAGAAATTAAGTAAAAGTTGAGGGGTAAACGAGAGTGAGGGTGGTAGATTGCATCAGGCGAAGTGTGATTTGTGGCTCGTGACCTACCCGGGTCAATTACACCCACCGAATTGCAATAGCCATCCAAAGTAAATGACATTTTATTGTGAAAGTAACAGTATGACATTTTTCAGTCGCCATCAAAGATGAATTCACAGGCCTTAGTGATGACGAGACGTTAAAGAAGATAGAAGGGTACGATTCATTTTATTTCAGCTTTTCTTCTCTTTTATTGCAAACTGTTTGGGTTCTAGACTGCTACATTATTTATTCTTCATTAACTTATTTATGCGTTCAATGGCGCACTAAACGCCCACGGTCTGGTCACCTCTCGCTGTACAATTGCGGTTTTTAGTTCAGAGCAAAAAGTACGGTGCTTAGCAAGGTATTTCCAAGGGTGTCACTTTGAGAAGTCGCGTTTTATCTCTCGCTTTTTTTCGGTTCATATAATTAATAGGAATCCAAGAAATAGAATGGTTGCTAATACCACTCAACAATCCACCCCACTATGAAATCATGGGCGCTGTATACTTACCTGCACCACTTTTCCGAATTCGTGGTTGGCTGCGGTCGCAAGACCAAGGGTTGGTTTGTCTGAGCGGAAACTGATGCAGGGCTTGACTCCGGAACCGGCTTAACACGCGCGCAGTCCAGAGGTCGAAACCCGGATAAGCTCCCGCTGAGGCCACCCAGGTCTCTTAGTTTCGGAAGACGGTGAGTTGATACCAGACTTGCCTGGTAGGATAAAAAGCGTTGGCTTACACATTATTTTGTCCCCTCAAGCCACTGTATTAGGCCTTCGATAGGGTATAGGCCCTATCGAAGGCTTAATCTTTTGTCCTTCTTAGTGACAAAGTTTTATAGGTGGCTAGGAGGTAGTTTAAGCTGCCAATTACAAGTAACACATCCGCCTTCGGCGCTGGCGCCACAAGCCGTTTTTAGCGCGCGCTTCGCAGTTTAGCACCATAGGATGCGAGGTCCATGTTCAAAGGCCTTTTTTTTGCAAACTCGGTGGTTCGAGGTGTTCTGGCTCCGGCGCCTATGGCGCGAGCAAATGTGATGTCTATGTGTGGAAGTAAGCCCCTCCCCACCCCCAGGAGAAATTTCACTCAAAACTGAGTTTGGATCTCGAAAAGGGAGGCATACTGGGTGAATATTACCAGTGTCTTTTCCTTACCGGTTTTGTGTGAGCTTGCTTGCTGCGCCGTCATGTTAGAAATATCTGTTAAAGAGGAGTGTTGTCGCCAGTCCAGACATAGGCTTGTCAGAGACATAAAAAAGCGTGGTAACTGTGGCTATGGAAGTCAGCTACCACTGTGCACGGAGGCTGGCGCTAGTACGCGAACCGTTGATATGACTCATCTGCACAAGTAGTTGAGGTGCATGTTTCAGTGGCTATTATATGTATGTGCGGGATTAGTGACGTATAAGATCTGACATTTTGATGCGGCACGCTCTCTCTGGGGTGTTTTGCATACAACGTAAAGAGGAAAATACCACAGAGACGCTACCTCTAAGTATGTGAGTCCTATTGTTCTTTACGAGATTGAGCTCGTTTGTCTTGTAGAGTAGTCTCATTTGAGTTCGATCAATTCCGAGGAGTATTCAGTAGGGTTCGGCTTCATCGACGTCGTCAGATGAGACAAATTGGGATGGTTTTTGGGAGAGCCACGCCGCAATGATAGAGAGTACTGCTGCACAAGGGTACCGTCTCGAACATGATATTTAGTACAATAAGTGTAGGCTGGAGCATCCACGTTGGCAATGCGTGTACGCGTGAGTTGCAAGCAGCGTCAGCACGTGTGCAGCACCAGGACGCCTGATCCATTCAAGAACAGTAGGCAAGATTGCCTAAGGCAGCGTTCAGACTTTGCGACAGCAGCGCTTCGTCGCGCGTTGAATGCAATCGATGCAGTTCGATTGATGCATGACCTCCGCATAGCACGTCGAACGCTCGATTCGATAGCGCTGCCTGTGGTGAAGTCTGAACGCTGGCTAAGACGAGCGGCCATCACCCTACTCCAATGGTTGGCGACAGCTGGCGTCCCCAGCCATCGTCGCCCACTGGATTTAAGGAGCAAGTGCTGTAGTATATCGAGTCAGCCAGCTAAAACAAATACTCTGCTGGTTCCTGGCGGCAGTCCTAATCGGGACGTTACAGCCAACTTATACCTAGAATTTGTCATGAAGCTTTAGTTGAAAATTTCAGAGCTCATCTGTTGGACAAGTACTGAATTGTGAGAGAATCGAAACCCTCACTGCAAAGCATAGAGATCACCTTTGAAGAATCGTAGTGATTTCTCAAGTGCTCATGTACATTTTTCTTTCCAAAGCTCTATGGTATAACGTTGCGTTTATTGCATTGAGCCACCTGTGGAATAGTTTTCTGGTAGGTTTCTCTGGGTACAGTTCATATCACGGCGCGAAGGAAAGGACGTGTCTACGGACTCAATTGTCAGAAAATCGGCGGAAGGCTGTAGGATGTTGCCGGTCCAGGCGATAGACGACAGAGTGGTTCAGCTCCCTTCTTACAATGTCTATGTCTCCAACCCGAACGGGCAACACTATAGAAACTCCGCTGACCAACGCTTACAACAAGCCTGTAAACCAGTGCACATCGTAAGTTGGGAATCCCCAACGGGGGTCATATTTTCTCATGGGAGGGCAGTCGCCTTCGGTCTGGTAACGATTTTCAGATGGTTGAATTTACCATCTAAGAATCATTCCCAGCGCGCCATGTGCACCACCGAGTCGTAGCGGTGCCGCAGATTACTTTTCTGATGGACGATCGTATGTACGATCCTCGGTGACAATTTTTTTGGGAAAGTTTGGTTATATGATCGGTCGGTTTCAAAAGAGGTCCTATCGGAAGAGACAAATTTAGTAAGGGGTCGTGTTTGGCTCCAGCGCCTTCCCCCGCCACTGACACAACTTCTCCGGGAGCCGTGATATGGACTACACAGGAAGCCCGCAGGGTTCGTTATCAGTTTCTAGCTAGCTCAGCAAAAAAAGCTCAGAGATCTTGTGAATATTCTGCAAATGAACTTTTATTCGCCTTTACGATTTACGCAGCTGCAGTTGGAAGGGGGCACATGGTGGTGTTATCCGCAAGACCCCAATAGTCTGCGCTCATCTGAAGCAAGAGCCGGCGAAGGGCAAGTCTCGCCGCACTTCCCCTCTCAACTACAGTAGCCTCGAAAATTGTTTTCACTTCTGATTCTTTTGTTTTTTTTTGTTGGTTTTTATTTGTTTCAACGCAATATTGCTGTTGCTACGTCCATGGATTGTGAGTTGTGACTGTTGCTGTGAATATATGTTGTGAAAAAGCGACCAGTTTTTTATGGAGGAATCACAACTTTACTCAGAGCGGACTCTTGCTCATTGCAAGCAGCCGTCTGGGTGTTTTTCAAGGGCACGAGGTGGCGCGAATACTTGTAAATATGCTCGTCAGCCTTCTTCACCAAACACCGCTCGCGATTACACTTCGAGAACTACAACTCTTTTTGCGAATCTGATTGTCGGGTACGCAGTCAGCTCTCCACAAAGCACCCGATTATTCCAGAGCAGGTAGAGGGGCGAGGTTGTTCAGAGTAATCAGAAACAAGACTGGCCTATCCCTGAGTGGGTAACAGTGTAGCAATACCTCCCAGTCGCGGCGAATGCGGCTTAATACGCTTGTAAGCGGCAAGGGATCGTGCACGATGCGCGATCCTGCAACTGGCAAGTAGAACCTCACACCTTCATACCTTCCACGTCTGTGAAAACTGAGAGAAGAGATAGCTGTCTTGGCGGG